CTTCCAAAAACTCATACAGTGTGTTCTGCAGAAAGTTGAGGTAAGCAGCGCCTGTTAATCGGTTTGGTAAAACAACAGGGCCTAGAAACCTGTCACCTACAATACCCATCCAAATGTTTAATGAAAAACGTGCCTGATGTCCAGATTATATTAGAACATCTTCTCTAACTTTGTTTTTTGTTTGTTAAAAGCTTCCTTTGTCGGTTTATTCCTAATAAAATAAAATGTTTGAAAAACGAATAGTGGTCCATATCTCCGCAATCGTTACTTTGCGGACCCATGTTTATTAAGACTTTTCTGCTTATTTTGGTTCATACTATTACCTCCTGAAATATTTTACACTCTTTAACACCCTGTATAGTCGGAATAGGGCATGGAAATAAGGATCTTGATTTTTTTTGTCTGGGCAACATTTCGATTTTATTTCGGTTCTACAAATAACAATAAAAAGATTTAAAAAACATTAAAACGATATTTAAGATTGGAAATTGGAACCCAATTTCTTCTAACAAACAACCGCAGTATTTGTGTAAATGCCGCTATACAAAACACGTTTGTAATAAAAATTGTGCTACTATTTCATTCATAATATTCGGGAACCTCAAGGACAAACTATTCGCCAAGCAGGCGTTGCTAAATAAGTACGGAAACATTAAGAATGCGATAAAACATCTTTGTGGAGGATATGAAGTGAAATACTAGAATGTCATGTTTCTACGTCATACTTACATTAGAAATTCTTGGAAATACGAAATATGCGAAGAATTTGAAAATATTTTTAAAGCTATCTAAGTTTGTAGCTTCCTTACCCAGCAGATAGAAAGTATTGTTTGGCTGGGCCAAGGAATCTACTTGGATTCCAAAAGCTGTGGACGCTATCACGTCATTTGTGAAACGAGTGAAAATATCCTTAAATTCTACCGTCACGACGTCTTCCTTCTTTTTCAGGAAGTGCTGAACAAAGTTCTCAGCGCATTCCGATATTAGAAAGAACATAGTCTTTATCTTGCTGGTGGTGAATGATGGACTGAGAATTGTTCTCATGTCACGCCACTTTTGACCTGAAAATTAATTAGAAAGTTACAGTTCTTTTATGCTTTTGATGAGGAAAATCGTTATGGTGCATAAGATCTACCTTTGAGAAATATCAGATTCTTGCCCCACAGGGGTTCAGCGGTTTCAGGAAAGATACTCTTGTGATCTGTAAAATGGTCGAAATCCTTAACTGTTATTTGTTTTATCAAATCTGGGTCTTTGACTACCAAAGCCGGCACCAGGAATTGGTACATTCCTGAGTATCTAGAAAGACGTAATAGGTGCTTCAAAATTTGTACGTATTATTATTTGTACGGTTTATTTAGTTTGTTTAATAATTTAAGGAATAACTTCTAAACATTTTATTCTTCCGCACATACATGATTTGACATGATATCTTCTCGGATTTTGGACCCATAAAAATATTAAATTTGCATTGTGATATTGTGTTTTTTACAAGATGAAAATCAATTTGGTTTTAAATTTAATAAAAGTACTGAAGACGCATGACTAATGGACATGTGTTATAGCTGTTTTACATTGACAATTTATTGATCAATTAACTCATGAAGTCGTTTCATCACGATATTGGGCAAGTGTAATGTACCAAATCAGCTGTCAAATAACTACATGAATTTATTCATCAAGTTCTTGACGAATTAGAGCATGTTCTAATTTTCGTCAGTTTCTTCGTGAAGTTCGGAAGTACCAACCCAACAGATTTACAGCCTCAGATCAGTAATGAGGTTATGTTATTGGAATATGTAAATAATTGTGTGGCTTCTTACTAGTTTTGTATTGTTTTTACTGATTTGTTACTTACAAACACTAATATTTATATAATATGTGTCAAAACGGTACCGTTGTTGTATCACTAGAATTATGAGTGGAAAGGTGACATTTTTGAAATTTATTTGCTTCTTTGATTCGTTGGTAGAACTGATTCATACGTCAAAAAACTTGACAGTCTGTAGCAGTGTAAAACCACACTGTTTACCAATAAATTCGTGAACTAATTCATGAAGAACTTCGTCAATTTATTCATCAATAAATTGTCAATGTAAAACAGTTATTAGATTATTAAAATGTTGCCTAAAAAACAGGACTGCAAAAAATTTAAATTACAAATTAATTAAGGATTGGAATAGAAATAAGTGTCCCACAAGGCATTGTTCCTAGACCTATATTTTTTTAATGTATTTTAATGAAATTGCAAATTTACTTAATAATGGAAAATATCTCATGTGTCGTGCTGATCCTCAACTGTGCCATTCAAATGGCTCCAGTAGGAAGCGACCTGCTATATTGCAGGTACTTGTTGCACGACTGCCACCCACAGAGGGCGAAGACAATGTTTTAATTGTCAGTGTTGCGAGAAACAACTACTCCGAGGACTATATGCCCCTACCGGCATTGAATTATACCCGCAACACCTAGTGCAACAGCTAGGATCGTTCGCCAGTTTAACTCACCAGACACAGATCGATTTCGGACTTATTAGCCTTCATCAGTATGCCATAGGTGAGACAATAGACGAACGATCTAGCTGTTTTGCGTCGTATCATCACGACAAGGAAATATATAAAAAATATCTCATTTTCTTACCTGACATCTGGACATTGATTGTAAACGCGTTGTAACATTTTGACAGAGCTTTCCGTCCTCGAGAGGATGCCCCAGTTATCACCAGCTATCCACATCGGATTCCCTTGCTTAACTCCCCTGTCTTTCCAATAATCTAATGGTTTTACCATAAAATAATAAAAGAGGAATACCGCCGCAACCAATAAGAGTATCAACATCAACATTTTGACCTGTAAATGTTAGATGTCAGATTTGTAGATTGAATTTAAAAAGTACAATTATTTTTATTATTTACTCAATTGTTTGATATAAGTTGTCTGTAGAAATGGTAAATTAATTTCTTTATAATGTCACAATTGTCAGATAAAGGCGTATTTCAATATTTACAACTTTACAGTACAGTAATTTTTTACATTTTGAAATAGCTGAATTGTGTGATTTTTTTAAAAATAGAGGATGTCTTTTTTCTTAGTACGTATTTTTTTTGTTAATGAGGTAAGATAACAGCAATTGCGCTTTTCATAAAATGTGAAACGTTAAAAAGAACAGGCATTTAAACCTCGGAATATTTTTGTATAAATAAATAAACATATGGTACTAACATAAATCGAAATAATTTTTTTTTCAAAAAGTAGCTCAGCAAAAGTTCACATAAACTTTTTGCTCAAAATGGACTCTATAAACTGTTAATGTTAATACGTTTAAAAAGGGACCGCCCTGAATAAACATATGTATTTAACAATCAATGTCATGTTATGTTTGTAAATAAAACACTTACGGTATTATGTATTCAATTATCATAACAACAGCAGTGCAAAATTAACGCGTAAATCTACTGCGATTCATAAAAAAAAGAACAAGGACACATAAATGTAATCGTTGAAATATCAAATTCGATAAACAAACGTTATGTTTCAAGACACACATATACAAATTTTTATTCTTAAGATTTGAGACCGCAAAATTTAAAAATTGCAGGATTAAACTCTAAAGTAACTCACTTTTACAAATAAACGAGATAACAACTGAGAATAATTCGGTACACATCTGGCTTTGTTAGTGATTAGGACGCGGGCGTTATATTATTCCACAACGTTTATACCAGGCCTGTTCAGAAAATAATAGAACTTTATTTTTTTAAACTTTATTATTAATTTTATACATTATTAGTCCTTGCCTCCTTTAAAGTCCTCTCCTCTCCCTTATTCAGACACTATTCCCATAGCGGTGTTTCCATATCCCGAAGCAGTCCCGGATAGCTTCATTTGAAATTGCCTTTAAAGTCTGAATTTGCTTAGATGTAATCAATATCTGAAAACGGCGTCCTTCCAGTACTGATTTTAATTTCGCAAATAAGAAAAAATCACAAAGAGCCAGGTCTGAGTGTCAATCGCATTTCACTAAATACCTCCATTATCGCGTAGGTAATTGAAACAGTTCGGTTATTTTCTAAACAGACTTCGTATGCAGAGTATCAGTCACGTAGGACAACAATACTTCAATTAACTTCTAAATCTAAACGAACAAATTTATTTGTCTGACTTCATTTACAGGATGATTTAAAGAAATAGTTTCTATACCTAAATAAAACTAGGATGTAAGTTTCTCTTGGAAAAATAGTGGCGGTAATTCACATAATGGTTTTCTCACTAACGTTGCGTTTCCAAGATACAGGGTGTTGAAGTTGTTATTTTGAAAAGGTTTTTCTTAATTATCTTTAAATCGGCTAGAGATAAAAATATTAAAAATTATTTACGAGTATTTTATATAATGCATATGTTATGGACCAAGTGATAAATCGGACATTATACATAATGCTCGGTCATTATGTAAAATGCCCAATATGAGTGTGCAATTTGATAATAATTATACAATTAATCAAATTGACCGGGCATTACACATATTGTCCATCACCTTTTGGGCAGAGTATTACAAACATATTTAATTACTATTTTTTTATTATTATTGTCATTTATCTTAAAATAAACTAAATGTTAAACAATTTAAATAATCAGACTCATTATTTGGATTAATTAGCAAGGACTTCTACATTAAGAATTGTAGTAGAACAACCCTAGGTTCGACAAAAAAAAAAGAAAATATAAACGTAGTTGTGGCCAAAAATATGTGATCGTCATAAGGACTGCCTACGTTGTGTGTATCCATTTTTAATTGACCGGAAGGCGCTGGCTACTAACTTTGTAGAGGGGATGTATGGTTTAATTATATAAAACAAAAGCAGAGTAAATACACCTAACCTTTATTTACATACAATTCAAATTAAACATGTGACAAATATAAAGAACAACAAAAACATCAACAACCATTTAACATAAAATGAGAGTGCCAGGCTCACCTAGAGCTCCTGCGGGGAAAGAGCATGGCAGAAAAACCCACGATCGTTGCTCTTACCACCCAAATATAAATACAAAACAACCGCTAACCAAAGGCATACATTAAGGTCCTTTGCTAATGATAAATAGGACCTGTCTCATTTAATGTGTCACTAAATGTCATCTGTTACCTCATATTAGTCATACACACTTCCAAGTTAAACTGAAGAGGTTTGGTGTTAGTTAGCCGGCAGAGCCGGAAGGTACTGGAGTCCCATACGGGAGGCAATCCAGCTATAGTTGAGATTTCGGAAGATCCTTCATAACACTGGAAACATATACAGAATTATTATCATGAAACATCTATATTTTACGAACAACGTAATCATGACAAAAACAACTTAGATGTGAAACAAAGGAGTTATTATTGTAATGTCTGGGCGCCCACACAATATATATATTTTAACATGAAATAAATAATGAGCAATCGTTAATAATAACTATAACAATTTTACCTTAGAAAAATATATGCCCTTGAGCATAAAGCAATGGAAGCTAAACATGCAAAGAATTATTATCATGAAACATCTATAACCATCACAATCATAAAATTACATAGAACAATTAACAACAAAGTACTTAAAGAATATTACCTGCTTTCTAATACCGGTTAAACACTTAATTTTACACTACTTTGTCACACTGCCCGCCGATCGTCTTGCTACCTATCTGTTACTACACTGTTCTCACTTCAACTACCTATCTTCAACTATTTAGGCTTCCTTCCAGAATTTCCTACCTAAGTGCCTGTTTTTTGTGCTTCCTTCTACCGACCGTTAATATTACTTTTTCATTGTTATACAACACCTATGTAACAGGTGACGTCGAAGTTGATAAGACAAGTACGGTTTTGCACAGAATCCACTAGTTTCTGCATTTAAAACTTAAGGAAAGTCATATTAAAAATTAGGTAACATAAAATATATAAAATTTAAAACAAACATTTCACAACATATCTTTGTTTTATAGAAGTTTTGACATATTATTATAAAACATAAAATAAACTAAAGTTTAAGCAATCGGACTCATTATTTGGCATAATTAGCATCTAATAGTTTTCAGCACTTTAAACTTAATAAAAGTCAAATGAAAGTATAAGTAAAATAAAAATTGAAAACAATAATTATACAATATGTAGTAAGTAACAGAGTTATTTATTAGAACAACTGCCGCTATGATGGCATTTTGACGTACACAACTTTTTGCCTTTGCGACAACTATATTTATCAGACTTGCAACCACTTTTACAACCACATCTACTATGCTTCCCTCCCCGCACCGTTTCAAATTTAGCTTTATCATCAAATTGCCCAATTGTCACGTAGCAATATAATAATGACCGTGCAAAGTGATAAATAATGAAGTTTAGATAGTAATTAATCACTTAGCCCGATAGAGCTAGACATTATTCATAATGCTCGTACATTATTAATAATGCCCGCTTTAATCACCTGGTCCATAACACATACATGGTTTCTGATGGCATTTTTCACGCAATATGAACATATTAATAGCACATACTTTATTTTTTATTATCCTCATTGCTTATTATAATAAAGTATAATATATTTTTCCTGTTTTCTAGGGCATGGTGTCTTTTACGTGTTTATATCTTTCAATAAGAAAAATTAATTTCGCATATTTATTAATAGAGCTCGGGACTCGGTCGGATGATTATAGCCGTCGTGTCGGCTTTCGCTACAGCGCACCGTACGAAACCAGTAATAACGACAATTATTGCTTTCGCGTTTGCTTCGTGTATACGTGTTTTAATGTTCTAAATAATGTCGAACGCGCCAGGGGTAAAAAACAACTTTTCGCTGAAAAAGTACGCAAATTTATTTATTTTTATTTATACCTACTGTTTATTCATTTGTTTACGACGAACACGCCTATGACTAGCCGACGAAAACCCCGAGCTTTATTCATACTTTTTATAATAACAGTTCTTGTACACTGAAAACATGTTAAGAGAAATGATACAGCTTATAGAAATGTCAGACGTATTACATTTATATTATACAGTGTACCCCAGAAGCAACACAGGATTTGAATTGTGCGCTATTTTAATTGGGAAGAGTTAGTAGCATTGTATAGTGTCACATGTTGTAGTAAACACGATGAACGAGTGAAGATTGTGAAAATTTATTACCAGTACGGAGAGTGTGTAGCCGAGACTGTGTGCACATTACGTGGAATTTTCAGTGGAAGGAACATTCCGAATGAAATAACCTTGAAAAAATTAGCCAAATTTGGACAAACATCATTTTTTTCATTTTCTTATATTTTCTGAAGAGAAAAGATATACTTTATAAGTGTAGCTACGAATAATCATTTTTGAGAAGTTCACCGTTGACGTTTCCAATGCAACGAATTTAAATAATTTAATATAGTATGTAGGTATACTCAAGGTAGGTTTTGAAAAACAAAATTAATACAAGATGTTTTCAATCATACAATCGAAAAAGATAATAATTGAAAGTGAAAGTAAGGTTATAATGAAATTATATTTTTTTTAGATTTTTTTGGATTATTAAATCCAAATGCTGACATGAAAGAAAGAAAACATATTTTTTAAATAATATACAACGAAAAAATAATCAACAATTAATAAAGAAAGTCTAATCAAATCTAATCGATTTCCTAATAGGGTTTTTACCTCCGAATTCTTTATAACTGAATCGATTAACGTGAAATTTTGACTGAATGTGGGGAATGCCTCAAGGAACAAAACTTATATAGTGCCGAAGTGTGCTTGGAGGTGGAAATTTTTACGCCCAAAATAACCACAGAAATCGATAGAGGAGTCAATTTTAAGTAACAAATGTTATATAAAGTTTTTTGGATAATCCAATACTTTCCGGTTAATTCGTCATTGAAAATGTTGATTTTTTACTGAAAAAGTGCTTGTTTTCGGGCAGTTTTTTGTAAATAACTCTGAAACCATTGGATTTAACGAAAAAGTTGTAATGAACAAAAAGAAAGGTAGGTAATAAAAAACAAATCTAATGGCATTATTTTTCTCTAATTGCAATATAAACCGAGTTATGGTTTTTTAAACATTATTATATGTTAGCTAAAAACTAAATTGGAACCGGTTAACGTTAAATAACGCCAAAACCATAAATATTAGGAAAAAAAACAATTTGAACCTTTTTTAAAGTACTTTGAAAAACCTTTAAAATTAGCTGTTTTAAGTTTTTAGAATCAAAATTAACGGAAATATGATCGAAATAACATGATAGTCTATTTTTTTTTTAAATAAAAATTTATAAATGTATGGGGTAATTTTTAAGGGTTGAAAAGTTGTAATCAATTCAAAATTATTTTATAAGAAGGGAATAAATGTTTATTTAATACGAATGCATATTTAAAATGTTTCTACTCTTTCAATAATATTTCTTCATTTTATTTTCGAAAGAAGGGATATTTTTCAAGGGCTGAAAAATTGCAATCGATAAAAAAGACTGTTTAATCAAGAAATCAATTTTAATGTGATAAAATGCATGATTAAAACGTTTCAAGTTGAAACAAATTTTTTTATATTATTTTTCATCCAAAGGGGTGGTTTTTAAAGGTTTTTCTGGGTTGAAAATTTGGGATACATTAATTTTCATGTTAGGTAGCACATGAAATTACTCATAATGCATAAATAAAAAGGATTTGATTACATAAAATGCTTAAATTTGTATTTTTTCTTTTTTTTCCAATAAGGGGTGGTTTTCACCCCTTAAGAACAAAAAGCACATCTAGCGCATATATAAGTTTTGAAGTGGGGGGTAAGATGAGCCTAAATCTAAATTTTGAGAAAAATCGATGCAGTTATAAAAAATTCGGAGGTATTACTATATTTTTTGTGTATTACTGTACATTTTTAATTAATAGTAATTTATTATTCATTTTGCCGCAACATCTGAAAGATGATTTATACGTTTCTTTTTAATTGATAAGACTCGTTATAAAGTCAAATTGCATAAGTCATTTCATAAAATTAATCTGTGATCAACAGTGAAATTCAAGCAACGAAAATACAGCCTGTACCTAGACAGCGTTGCCGTGGAAACAAACAAATCAGACGGACCTTAAATAGGCGTCTGTCAACAAATTTTAGGACCGTCCATTTTATTTTAAGCCCCTTCGTGGGGCAACTAACCAAACCGCGATGGATGAAAAGTCCGTGATTAAGAAGTACCGGCAGCGTGTCCACTTGGTCAACCCTTGGCTGCCGGAAGTATGGGCGGAATGGGAATCCGAGCCCAGTGCTATGTTCACGAAGATAAACAGGGCTGAATACCCGCCCCTGTTCGCGAAAAAGTCCTGGACGAAGGGCGTGCCACAGAAGGATGCGGAGTCTTATCTGAGGCCATCGGAAACTATAGGTAAGCATTTAACAATGTTAAATCACAGGTAGAAGTATATAGTAGAATTATAAATAAATCAAATCACAAAAGGTTCATCCAGTATTATTTAATTTGTAACTTGTTCTTACATTTTACTTAAGCACTTAACCCCTTAGACATGTGGTAAAAAAATCAGGTCGATAGCTTTATTATTAACTTTGAAAAACAACTTTTAACTCGTGAAATATTTGAAACGATCCAAGCTATTCGCAGAGTATTTGCGACGTCACACCACTCGACTGGTTCGACCCAACTACTCTATGCGTAATTACAATGTCCTAAGTTATTTATTTGTGGTATAGTTTAAGCTTTTTCTATTTTTTATTGGTATTTTTCCATAAAAGAAGAAATCAATACGAAAAAATGAACGACCATAAAAATATAAATAGTGAGGCACTTGAAAAATGGTTTGCATCTATTTTGCCACACATTGAATCTGGTTCAGTGATTGTCGTCGATAATGCGCCTTACCATAGCTGTTAAATAGAAAAATTGCATGAATACTAAGAGGAAAACTAGAATTATTAGCACATGCACAAAAAGGAAAAGCCAAATAAATGCAATATGCAGTAGATCAACTGACCAAAGCTCTCAGTGTTACACTACACCAAGTCACTGTGTGCTGAACCACACTGAACTAATCTGGACAAATATAAAAACTGAAGCGTTACAAAATGGCGACTAATCAAACAAACAGCTACTGTGAGACATCGATAGCATAGCGACAATAATTAGTCATTTTAGTTATCAATAACATGACTAATTATTGTCATGTTTGTACTGGTTTTACTGATTTGGTCGTGTTTTACTACTGATTGCTATATTCCACATTAAAAAAAAATTCCAAGCGAGTAGTAGTAGGCCATCTTAGCATACGAATGCAAAACTTCGGAATATATACCTTAGTATAAATTAGAGGTATTTAGATACATCAAAGTGTGTATAAATTTGTAAGAATAATTTAGGTTCTATTAAAACATTTAAACATGTAATTGTTCTATATTTAATAATTTTGGAACCCTCTAAAATGATACGCCCATGGAACACACATTTTACCCGTTGCAGGTATCAACATATTAAGAGTGAGTCACTGCCTATTACATTGGTGTGCACTGGAGTATAGTTAGAATATAATCAGCTAGATCACGACGGCTTTGAAAATAGCACGGGTGCTGCGATTTACCAGATAATGATTAGAAAAAGTAAAGTTTCTTCCTTTGTTTCCAGGTTCCAGTTTTACCCCTCAGGCTCAAGAACTACGCATCCAAGACCTGCACAGAAAAAGGAAAAAATCCCGCCTTTTTTCATTGACCGTAGACGGTAATATTTTTTCTTTGCGTATAACCTGTCATATAGGTTAATTTTTTTTAACTTTGTTTAACTGTCACTAGGCCAGCTTGGGTATCCGCCGAAGAAGACGAGGAAGGAGCTGGAGGAGCAGGAGAAGAAGGAAGAAGTAAAAAAGCAGACTAGTAGCGAGGACAATTTGTTCGTGAACATAGAGGACTTGCTGTCGGGGGAGTATTGGAGGAGAAGGAAGGAGAAGGAGGCGAAGAAAAAGAAAGAGAGGAAGATGAAAAACAAGATCGACTTGTTGAAGTGGGAGGGCTTTCCTGACGAATCCGAGTGAGATGTTTTTTATTGGTTGAATAAAAGTCAGCACCCTTGTATTTTTTTTTGTTATTTAAATGTTTGGAAATGCTCTGGGTATTTACTGAAATTTTTCAAGGAGAAAAAATCAAGTAGCAAGAAATTTTTCATTTTATTAAAATAAATACAATTTTTTCAGTAATGGAGATATTAGAAGTGTTTCTTTAGTTTACATTTATAGCTTATTAATATTAACAACATATAAAGTAGCATATATTCAGTGAACTTATCTGCTATTTCCTTCATTTTACACTATTTAATAATAATATCTCTATCCCTCATTCTAACCACGAGAATTAGCTCAGAAGTCGGAGACTTGTGAGGGAGAGGAGGCGGCATATTATTATTATTTGATATATATGGTTACTGCAATTTCTGGGGCAACAGATCTAAAGCTGCCCCATTTGCGGCTTCGTCAACATCTGATGGAATAATAAATTTTTTCAGCCACAAAATTTACAATATTTAAGGATAGCTTCAATTGTAGTGACTAAACACTAAACAACTTTTATTTTGTTTAGAAAACTGAAAAAACTTCAAGCAATTCTGCCTCAGAGCCCTGAGGATCAGAAAGCTTATCTGTACAAGCAGTGTAATAAAGAAATGAACCAGCTGGTTAGAATCCAAGACATAGATCGTATGATTTATTATTTGACAGAGGTGAGATCAGTTCGTGAAATAGTTGTGAAATATATGAGATACTAAATTAAAATGATGAAAAACTACTAATTACGTGAATATTTAATTTTTTCTAGGGTATAGACTCATCACAAATCGCTCCATACAACCAAGAGCTCCTACAGAGGGCCAAAGACATAATCCCTCCCAAATACAAACTCTTGAGGGAGTACAATCGCATGATATCTAAGGACGAGAAATTGGTCCTGAGGCTTTATTGCATTTTCATGCGGAAGCATCTTCTGACGTATATCCTTCACGACCCTGCGGAATGGGACAGGTAACTTAAAAAAAGAGTTTTCGTTTAATAATTGTTTGTCTAGCTTCTATTTGTCGTTCATATGCTCATTGATGCAGCATAAGCGAGGGGGCAGCCACAAGGAATGAGGAAAAAATTCTTATGTAGGGCGTGATTCCATTCTGATGTATAGGATAGATTCCATTTTGAAAAATATGTAGACTTTACTCCCTAACCTTTTGTCTTAGGAGGCTAAGCTTTTAAGATACGGGCGATACAATTTTAAAAAAGGGAAGTACCTTTTTTATCTAAAAAATTCATAAACATATTTCAGAACGAAATTTGGTGTATTATAAATGAAAAGAAGAAAAATAATAAATCTATATGGTATCTCCAAAATGTACCAAAAACATTTTTTTACAACTTTTGGGAATATGCATTTTCTATTATTTACATTTTTCTTGTGGAAATTTTCTCGTCATTTTGCTCAACAAATTCATCGGTGGTTGGAAGAGAATATGCGCAGTATTTAGATTCACTGACTACCATAAAAATATAATCGAGCCACCTCGTTCACCCGACTTCAATCCGTTGGATTTTTTTGTCTGGGAAAGTCTGAAACTTAAAAGTTTATACAGGATGTAACCCTGAGTGAGCCATATTTATACAGAGACTATTTTTGACCTATAAGACACATATGAGTGTTTTCTGGAATTCCACCCTGAACATTAGATTTTTTTAAATATTTCTCTTGTAATAAGATGAGTTAAAGCAAAGGAATCAAGAAAAAAGTGTATTTATTTTTCCATGAACAATCCACTATAGTCCAGACAACATCTGTTTCAAAAAGTCCATATTTTAGTGAATCGTATATCCACTGAGATTTTTGGCTTTTTGGCTTTCAAATATCACTAGAAATGAAAATTTTTCTATGCGCATAAAAAAAACGTGGGCTTAACTTTTGGCGGCACAATATGTAAAAAAAAATCGAAAAATGTCTTTTTTTTTCTTATTTAATTATGTATCTTTTCAAAAGTTGATTTTAGGCGAAAATAGAAGAGGAAAAAATGTTTGTAATTAAATTTTTTACAGACTACTAGTTACAAATCGAATGAATCATGATTATTATTGTAAAAATCGAAAAAATCTCCAAAAATTGGGTTAAAAAACATTACTTTTTAGGGATTTTTGTTTGGGTCTTAAAATTGAATATAGGACCTTCATATTTGGCTCAAGAAAACTTCATGTCATGTAGAATCATCACACCAAATTTCATCAAAATCGGTTTGATAGATTTTGCATAATAATTTTGCAATCCAAATTTTGAAAAAGAAATTTGCAAATTTTCAAAATTTTACACATCAAAAACCAAGGCACTTAGATACTTGAAAATTTAGTCACATATAGAAGGGCTCTCAAGCTTTCAAACGCTTTTTGAAAAATTCGAATCCGTCAATTAGGAGAGCTCTGGTGGTTGTTTAAAAATTGGTCGAATTTTTGCACTTATAAACAATTAGAGTAATTTTGTGAATATTCAATCAAATCAAATTTTTGAAAGCAGGAAAAGTTATTGGAAATACGCTTCTTTAAAAAAAACAGCTCGTTTGGTCAATTAATTACGTAGTTATAGCCGATCAAAGTATAATTCAAATATTATTTATTGTTTAAAATATAAGCAAATGAGAAATTAACTCATTATATTACTTATTTCCGACATATTTTAAAAAATATTGTTATTTAAACAATTTTAGAATATTTAAATAAATTTGTTTTTGATCTTTGATAAACAGTATATAAGTTTATGCACTTAACTTTTGATACAATAAAAAAAATAAAGTTGGTAATTAAAGGAAGTTTAAAGATAAATAATTATCGGACTGTTGAAAGATCAATAGGCATTTGAAAATACGCTAATTGTTTTTTTTAAATCACGAGACATCGATTTAAAAAAAAATCATCAAAATCGGACCTCTAGAAGCTGATATTAAAAATTTTTAAGCGCATCGCGGTTTGGAACTCGCCGATTCAATTTCAAGCAGGCCGAAGAGGCGGCGCTCTCTGCTTCCCCCACCACCACCACCCGTACGATTTTCTTAAATTTCTCGTTTGCATAAATAACTTTAAACACGTTTTAAAGTAGGTTGGCAATGAAGAAAAGTATTGCGAATTTAGACCTAATAAGTACTCGGAATACCAAAGGTATTTTTCGAAAAATTAGCCCGGAGTCCCAGTACATTATTTAGTGTAAATGAATAACTACGTAATTAATTGACCAATCGATCTGTTTTTTTTTAAAGAAGCGAGTTTTCAGTAACTTTTAAAACCTGTTTTAAAAAATTTGATTTGGTTGATATTCACAAAGTTATTCTAATTGTTTACAATTACGAAAATTCGACCAATGTTTAAACAAGCGCCAGAGCTTTCCTCATTGACGGAATCGAATTTTTCAAAAAACGTTTGAAAGCTTGAGAGCCCTTCTATATGTGATTAAATTTTCAAGTATCTAAGAGCCTTGGTTTTTACAGTGCAATATTTTGCAAATTTGCAATTTATTTTTTCAAAATTTGGGTTGCAAAATTATTATGCAAAATCTATCAAAGCGATTTTGATGAAATTTGGTGTGAAGATTCTACATAACATGAAGTTTTTTTGAGCCAAGTATGAAGGTCTTATACCCAATTTAAATACCCCAAAAAAATTCCCTAAAAAGTAATGTTTTTTAATCCCATTTTTGGCGATTTTTTCGATTTTTGCAATAATAATCATGATTCATTCGATTTGTAACTAGTCATATTTTGTAAAAAATTTAATTACAAACATTTTTTTCCTCTTCCATTTTCACCTAAAATCAACTCTTGAAAAGATACATAATTAAATAGGAAGAAAAATATGATATCTTTCGAATTTTTTTCACATATTGTGCCGCCAAAAGTTAAGCCCACGTTTTTTTTATGCGCATAGAAAAATTTTCATTTCTAGTGATATTTGAAAGCCAAAAAGCCAAAAATCTCCGTGCATATACGTTTCACATTCACCCAAACCAAAACAGATACCGCCTAGTTTACTGTTGTTAAGGTGAAATTATCCCGTATATCGTTTTCAGACTAGGTTTCAAGAGTTTTCCCAAAGACTTCCCTATAATGCTGGTACGTGCTCCCGTACCCTGGCACACCCAGTACTGCCTGAGCACCCAGTATATGGAGAGACACTATTACAACAGCAACATCATCGTGAGGAAGATCAGAGATTTGTGGTTTAAAAAGTAAGAAATGTGAGAAACGATGATAAAATCCTTACTGAACTATTGCTAATTCTGGTGTAAATCTCTTTTTTTATTTAATATACTATTCTACAGGTTAAAACTAAAAATAATACAATCAAATCTAAATGTACGACTAGTACATTAAAAATACAGTTCACAAAATATACACCGTACCAGAAACACAAGATAATAAAAAAGTTAACAGTTTATTTAAAATTTAACAACGTATATGTAGATATACATATGTAGATGAGAATAAAAAAACAGTACAGCTAAAAATGTCAGAAAAACTGTGAATTTCTTTAAATAAATTACACAGGTTTTGTAAGTATGAAATATATTTTATTCACTCTAGCCTTTGGTAGATAAAATAAATATATTAACGTGATGCTAATCTGTTTGTATGTATGAAAATTGAGGAAATTTAAAATTTGAATGTAGTTATCAGTACATATTATGAATAAGCTTAATAAAAAATCATCAATTAGTAAGGCTGTCAGAATTGAGCCGCGCGCCATAGGCGTACGCATTATTTATTAAAAAACAACAAATTAAATTCTGATTCCATACTGATACTTGATACTGATTCCATGTAACCTACCATTTGATATAGTAAATAATAAAACATTTCATTCTTACTGGAAAAAGTACAACCTCGAGCGGAAATTACCATGTTGGACCAGCTTGGAAGTAGAATATTTAATTATGCAAAATTATGCAAATATTACATCAGTAGATGTCGAACGGTCGTACTCTTCAGATTAATGTTTTATCACCGCCGCGCCGTGAATAAGTTTCCCTGAAACAAGGGTAGAAACATACCTGATGATGCGATCTATACGCTTTACGTTTTATAGATACGAGAACATGCTGATCCTCCCCTTAAACCGACTGGAAGAGGTGAACGCTTTTCCACTCCAACCTGCTCTTTTCGAAGAACAGGTGAAGCTGATCTGCGACCGATCTAGGCAGGTCTTGGTGAAGGAGTGGCTGCCGTCCTGCGCCGACATATTCCTCGAGTACAAGCAGCACTGGAAGCAGTACATCCCCCTGAAACTGGTAGATTCCGTGGAGATCGTACAGAGGTTCTTCGCGTGCGTCAATATGCTGCTCTCTGTGCAGCTCAGGTCGTTGGTCATGAAAAGTTTGAGGCACTTCGCTGACCTGATCGTGAAATTTAAGGTACGTAACGCAGTTAGCGGTCCGGTAACGGATCCCTGAGGCACTCGAGTTTTTGAGGACGATTTATATCTGAAGTTGAGTCTGTTTGCAGGGTGGAAACGATTATGGTAGTGAGTACCAAGATCTAGCCTTGATAAACCTTCCCATAATCACGGTGACAGTTACGCCCCACGTGGGCACGGAGAAGTTGACACTGACCCCGCCCTTGGAGGACATTCAAGAGATGTTGCACAGGTGTTTCAACAAAATACTGGATGTGAATAAAAATATCCTTAAAATTGAAATTATTATGTTTCCGGGTAAGTACACTATCATTCCACATTCAAAATAATGTAGATCCGTGCTGTGAGGAGGTCATTATAAAGTCGTAAATGATCTTTTTTAAATCACCTCTCAGGGACCCACCTAACAATAAAAAGTGACCAACTAATTTTAATTTGTTAGAATTTGCGACCTACGAGAGTTTCCTATATGCCGTGGATGAAAAGGAAGAACCGGTGAGGAACATTTTGGATGGTATGATTCAAGCCTTAGCGACGAATTTTGTCGGACCAAACAAATATCTGGCCTTATACGAAAAGTATTATTACATTCTGAATGGGACTGCTGAAAAAGAGTTGATGGACTTCTTCAAAATCGAACCATTTCCTTTTCTTAAAGTCAGTAAATATTAACGATAATTCATTTACTTCTATTTTTAACCCTCAAAGGTCACACTTGGGGTGAGCCACCTTAAAGGTTACACTAGTGCGAATTGGGATTTTGCCAGCTTGGAAACTTTATGTCTTCTTTATTTTTTAACGAAAACAGTGTATTTATATCAAAACCGAGAAATCGATTGATGTAATTAGGTTTGAAAAAAAATTTAGCCGATAATAACAGACTAAGGCCAGCTGTGGTACGGCTCGATTGTTTGGGCTATAAAAGGAATTATCTTGGTGGGGGAACACTCGGCACATTCTACCTGCTGTTAAAAAAAACCGGCGTTGTGAATTCGCAACCTTTGAGGGTTAATAATGTGCGTAATACAAAATTTTTAGGAATATTTCGACTGTATTTTGATTTTAGGATTTCGCGAAAAAAATTCGCATGTACGAAGAACTCAAACAGGAAATGATCGAGTTGCGGCGCCACATTCCCCTAAACCTCTTCTGCCTCGACTGCAGCGAGTTAAACGAGGCCCTTGTCACGATTCTGGACAACTTGCGCAACTACATAGTGAACTATTACATAACCGAGAACCACAACCATAACAGAAGGTAAATAATTGAATAAACTTTACTTCCTGCTTCAGCACCTACCATTTGCAGGATCTGCGACACTTTCGACGAAATGTCCCAAAAGGTCAGCGTCAGCCCGGATACAGTTGCGGAATTGGTGGAATTACAAAACTACGTGGTGGAATGTCGAGACGTGACAATGTACAATCTCAAGGAGCAAATAAGGAAGACCGCGGAATACGTGATGTTCCTGATGAACCACGCGCATTTATCGAGTACTTTCCTTGCATTTATTCTTTGTCTTTGATATATCTTGATTTTGATTCCAGTCGAGGACATCAACCTGAACTGTCGCGTCTTCATATGGCCCAAAGACATGGAATCCGTGGTGGAGCTGGCCATCCAAAGGCTGAACATGAAACGCGACCAAGCGGAGACCTTCCTGAAGAACAAGAGGGTCCAGTTCGACGTCAAACTGAAGAAGCACGAGAAGCTGCTGGTCGCCTTCAAGAAAAAAGATCCCGCCATCCTTTCGATGGAGGAGATGGAAGAAAACGTCGCCCAGGTCGAGAACCTCGTAGCGAAATTGGAAGAGGACAAAGCCGAAGCGGAACAAATAAACGAGGAGGAGCAACTCTTGGACATAGATCCTTCACCGTTCATGAACCTGTACAAGATGCTGGCCGTGGTGGAGCCCTACGACAAATTGTGGCACAACGTGTTGGATTTCCATGTGAAGTACGACGAATGGTAAGTTTTTAACGATCGTATGAAACGATGGGTACTAGATGTTGATTTTTTCAAAGGTATTACGGTCCTTTTGCTGGTTTGGACGCAGACGAAGTCACGGACTATATCGATAATGTTTGGAGAACCTTGTACAAGCTCGCCAAGACCCTTAGCGACAATCCCGGCGCTAAAAGGGTAGCTGAGATGGTGAGGGCGAAGGTGGAGAAGTTCAGGCAGTTCCTCCCGGTTCTGCAAACGGTTTGCAATAAGGGATTGCAGAAGCGACACTGGGACATGGTAAATACGTTTATTTATTGTAGATACGATTTTGGTGCATTGGAATTCACAAGATATTTCTTTTCTGGATAACTGTTGCGGAAAGTTCTTAGCACAAATTTCGTTCAATAAAATGACATCATCAGGAGGTAGCTATAGGATTACATCTGTTTTAGATAAGCGAAATCGTTGGGGTGCAACTGGTCATAACTGAGGATTCGACTTTGAACGATATGATCGAAGCGGGACTGCCGAAATTCTCTCAGCAGCTAGAAGAGATCAGCGGTGCTGCTACCAAGGAATACGCCCTCCAGAAGAACCTGGCCAAGATGAAGGACGAGTGGGTGGACATCAAATTTGAATGCGTACCGTATAGGTATAGTTTTGCTTTAAAAATCCAAAATTACTTGTTGTTTTCGATAAGCGTCTTTCTATTGGGAGCTAAGTCACGTATTGTCAATTTTCATCTTTCTTGATCCGTATACATGCTTTTTCAAATAACACACAGAAACTTACAATGAAGACACACAAACACACCAGTACGGAAAGTAAAAACTGAAATAAATATCTATTTTTTTAATTAATCGTTATTTCAGAGACACCGGTGTCAATATACTTACCGCCGTCGACGATATACAGGTGATGATGGACGACCACATCCTGAAGGCTCAGACTATGAGAGGTTCGCCTTACGTGAAGGCTTTCGAGGCTGAGATGCAGGCCTGGGAGGAGAAACTGATATCCATGCAAGACATACTGGAACAGTGGCTTATAGTGAGTATAAATATTTCGATTTGACGAGATATAACTTAAATTTCGCAGTGCCAAGCAACGTGGATGTACTTGGAGCCGATATTCAGTTCCGAGGATATCATGAGGCAGATGCCGACCGAGGCGAGGAACTTTAAGATGGTGGACAGGGTGTGGCGTGCGGTTCAGAACCACACCATCAAGGATACCCACGTCATCATAGCGACAGAGTACAAGAACATGCTGTCGCTGCTAAAGGAGAATAACAGGCTTCTTGACGACATCCAGAAGGGTCTCAATGACTATTTGGAGAAGAAGAGGTTGTTCTTCCCCAGGTAAGGAAATTTATAAACGTTTACTGTTCCACAGGTACAAGCATTTGTCGTAACTATCATAAACTTTCCAGATTCTTCTTCCTGTCCAACGACGAGCTCCTAGAGATCCTCTCTGAAACCAAAGATCCCCTCCGCGTTCAGCCCCACCTCAAGAAATGCTTCGAGGGTATCCACCAACTAGACTTCACCTACGACGAAGAGGTGATAGGCATGATTAGCGCCGAGAAGGAAGTGGTACCTTTCAGCGGCAAGATCATCCCTGCTGACGCCAAGGGTATGGTGGAGAAGTGGTTGGTGCAGGTCGAAACCATAATGATCCAGTCGCTCAAGGACGTCACGTCCGAGTCCATCAAGCATTACCCGACGGTGGATAGACCGGATTGGATCCTGCACTGGCCGGGACAGGTGGTGCAGTGCGTGGATTGCATCCAGTGGACGACGGAAGTGACCACCGCCATCTTCCAAGGGACTCTGCAGGAGCAGGAGGCTCTGTGTACGGAACAGATTGAACAGAGCGTGAAGATGGTGCAGGGGAAGTTGAAGCCCAACAATCAGGTCACTGTTGAGGCGTTGATCGTGATAGACGTGCATTGTAAGTATTTTTTATTCGGATGTGCTTGTTATTGGCAAAATGTTAACTTTTTGATACATGTGTTGTTAAATTTCCTTCAAAAGGCATTTTTTTTAAGACGCGAAATTGAACTCTTTAGACTTTGGAATTACGTTTCTTATTTCTTTCCGTCTTTTTCCATCTGTGTCTTTAGGTAGAGACATCGTCAAGAAGCTTAAAGAGATAAACGTGTCGTCTATAGCGGATTTCAACTGGATCTCCCAGTTGAGATACTACTGGGACAACTTCTTGGTACGCGTTTCTATGATCACGACCGACGTCATGTATGGATTTGAGTATTTAGGCAATACAGGGCGATTAGTAGCCACGCCGTTGACAGACAGATGCTACAGGTTTGTCCGAAATAAAGTCTATTTTTGACTTATCGTACGAAAAAACTGAAATAACATAAAACATCATTTATGTTCGTAGAACATTGATGGGGGCCCTGAAACTGAACCTTGGTGGAGCCCCCGAAGGACCCGCTGGGACGGGAAAGACGGAGACCTGCAAGGATCTGGCCAAAGCCGTGGCCAAGAAATGCGTGGTTTTCAATTGCTCTGACGGGTTGGACTACAAAGCGCTTGGAAAATTCTTTAAGGTATAAAAAATTACAACCTATTGAAGTTGCTTTATAAATAATATTAACAATAATAATAAAGGTCTTTATTTGGAATATTTTTAATACTGAGCGTTCAACAATTTTATTGAACACTTTTAGGTTCCCTTCCCTTCTTCCAAGATTTTTTTATTTATATGTATTTTAATTCTCTAAGTCAGCTGAAATTTTAGTTATATAATAATCGGCTTCTTTGGCAACATTTTAAACTGTTCTATAGGGCTTAGCTCAGGCCGGCGCGTGGGCTTGCTTCGACGAGTTCAACAGGATCGAACTCGAGGTGCTATCAGTGGTCGCCCAACAGATTCTCAGCATACAAACCGCTGTAGCGGCTAAGCTGAAGAAGTTTGTCTTCGAGGGTACCGAAATTACTTTGGATCCCACTTGTACCTGTTTCATTACGATGAACCCTGGGTAAAAGCCCTTACACATTGATATCCCTTGTTAATTGATTTTAATTTCAGTTACGCTGGTCGTCAGGAGCTGCCTGACAATTTAAAGGTGCTTTTTAGGACGGTGGCCATGATGGTGCCAGATTACGCGATGATAGGAGAAATATCTTTGTACTCCTACGGATTTGTCCAAGCTCACAGGTGAGAAATTGACAGGACAATAGTTATTTTTGATGATAACGTTTTCAAACAATTACAGCTTGGCGCAGAAAATCGTTCACACCTATAAGTTGTGCTCGGAGCAGCTGTCATCTCAAAACCACTACGATTACGGGATGAGAGCGGTGAAATCGGTTCTACTAGCTGCCGGAGCCCTCAGAAGGTCTTATCCGGAGTCAGCGGAGGATCAGTTGGTGCTGAGGGCGATCATAGACGTAAATTTGCCCAAGTTTTTGGCACAGGTAAGTACACTTACACAAAATATAAAGAGTATTTGGTCTTTATTCCACTGCACGATATGGGTTCATATCTAAATGGTTTTCAGAGATGAATGTCATTATTTGACAAATACGAGTCTTTGTTAGAGTAAATCACATTGTTTTATTCCACAAATTTCATATACTTGGAGTTCGTAATCTTCTTTTTGACTGACAAACAAATTATCTTTTAGAGGGATATCAGATGATTCATTTTGAAGTTTCGTACCTGATAAAATCATCAAGTGTGCTCCAAGGCTCTCTTTTGAGGCTACTGTTCATTGATATCTTTGTAGATGATATTTACCATATTTTTTAGAATAAATCACAATGTTTTATTCTACAAACTTCATATACTTGGAGTTCGTGGTCCTCTTGTGGATTGACAAAAAATTACCCTCCAGAGAGACATCAGTACATTCATTTGGAAGTTTCGTACCTGATAAAATCATCAACTGTGCTCCAAGGCTCTCTCTTGAGGCCACTGTTCGTTGTCATCTTTCTAAATGACTTTTACCAGCGACTTATCGATTATAAATTTTTATAATTTGTAAATGATTTGAAATTATTAACACTTCCACACGCATGCTATCAATAATTTATTAAGTTGGTGTATAGTAAATAAAATAGAACCTCCTCCAAATTAAAAGCAAAGAAATAAATAAAAATTAGAAAATTACCGCAAAATAAAATGAAAAATGTAACTCGGTTAAAAATAAAAAAAATAAAATAAAAGTAAGAAAAGGTCGCAAAACATAAACAATCAATATGTGTTATCTTAAAACCTATCTCTCAAGACCTATTAAGGAATGCAGTTGTCCAAGTTTTCCAGAAGGCCTCAGACAAAAGTAATAAACAAATTTGGAAATATGGGAAAAGTAGTTACTACCTACTTACTTAAATCTGAGGGTTGCTTTCGGTGTACAGCAAACTCTCTCTCAACGGTATTTTTATGGAAAACAAAGTTAGTGAAAAAGAAGTGTTGTCGGGGCGAACTTTCGTTGGAGAGTCCTCGTGGTGTGGAGTCGTTTGCAGGTATAAATATCTGGTCCTTGGCGCCAATCGGCCGTAGAACTTTTCCTGGAACCCTGTTGCGTCCCGTGTCTGTTTTTGGTCCTTGCAACTGTTAGACCGATCCGGATGGCGTCAGAAGGGCGCTCTTGACGTAATACTTAAAATGGATCACTTGCGAACATGTGTACCCACAAATCTTTCAAATCACCACAGCTCTGTTACAGTATTGGTTGAAGCTGGTGGTGACATCACTTCACCAAAACGCCACTGGATGGAAATTTACAGCAGTGGTCGAAAACTACATTGACGAGTCAATTCAAAACCACCATATGAATAATTACTGATGATAAAGTAATTGTAATGTAAAACAACATATTCTAACACTCACCTTTCGCAGGATGTCCCCTTATTCGAAGGCATCTTCTCCGATCTCTTTCCCGGAGTCAAATTACCCGCTTTCGAAAGGGCGGAGCTCATCGAGTGTCTAATAGCCGAAATCAAAAAGAGGAATCTACAGCCGACACCCTGGTTCGTCGAGAAGTGTATGCAGGTGTACGAAATGATCCTCGTACGACACGGTTTGATGATAGTCGGCAGGCCTATGGGCGGGAAAACTTGCGCGTATCAGGTAAGTCAGTTCTTTGTACTTACACTAATCACACACACTTGTACACTATAGTATACTTGTACTAATCTTACACGCGAATCATTTTTCAGAGTCTAGGGGACGGCCTGGGCCGTCTGGGGCAACGAAGGAACGCCAAACTGGTGGAACACAACGTCATATACAAGATAATCAACCCCAAGGCCATTTCCATGGGTCAACTTTACGGTCAGTTTGACCCCGCGTCTCACGAGTGGTCAGACGGTGTCCTCGCGACGACCTTCCGCGAATTCGCCAACAGTTCTTCTTTGGACAGAAAGTGGATACTGTTCGATGGACCGGTGGACGCCGTTTGGATCGAGAACATGAACACCGTGCTGGATGATAATAAGAAGCTGTGTTTGATGTCTGGGGAAATCATACAGGTGTGGATTCGAAGATTCCGATTCTTTAGAGTAACTTTTTTATGTTCCAGATGTCCAATCAGATGAACCTGATCTTCGAACCCGCTGATTTGGAACAAGCGTCGCCGGCAACAGTTTCTAGATGTGGTATGATTTACATGGAACCCGCTCTGTTGGGTTGGCAGCCTCTGATGGAGTCGTACATGACCACTTTGGAGAAGTACCTGTTACCCGAGCAGAGGGAACTGCTGGCGGAGTGCATAGAATGGTTGGTGCCTGCGTGTTTGGAATATATCAACGGACATTGCAAGAAGTTCGTCGAGACCTCGGATATTCATTTGTTTCACGTAAGGGAACAGACACACGCTTTTTTTTATTGAAATTGACTCACCGCTAATAATGGGGTCCAAGTCCGAAGTTGGTTTTTTCGCGAACGCTCAATCTTTTCCCTTAACTAAAGGTTAATTCTCAATTATGATACTTGGATAGAACTATTTATTGAAATTTCAGTTTTCAGCATATAGAGAGTGCTAGGGAATAAACTGATGTTTAATTTAACTGAAACCATATTTGGGGACATATTTGTAGGAACTTTACCCTGATTTTTTGGCAAGAAACCTCCTCAACAATTTTTTCTCACCATTAACGAATCAATCTTAACATAAACAATTTCTGTTACAATGACCATTCATTTTGTAGTCCTTCACCCGTATCTTTACCTGCATGCTGAGGGAGGAGAACCAGGTGAGCACCGTCTGGCTGCAGAACGTGTTCATATTCTGCATAGCCTGGGGGTTAGGATCCACGCTGACCGCGGACGGGCAGAGAAAGTTCGATGTATTTTACAGGAAAATCTTAAACGGCGACAACAAAAACTACCCCAAGTCGAAGTCGTTCAAACTGACCAAGAGCCAGATATTTCCGGAGAGGTCGATCATCTTCGACTGGGTCTACGACAAGAAGAACAACGGTAGCTGGATCGCGTGGGTCGAGACGGTGGACAAGGTCCAGCAGATTCCGGCTACAGCAAAAGTAACAATACTTTCTACATATGTATATATTTTTTAACGAAAATGTTGAACGAGTGTTTAAGTTAAAGAACAAAATCTAAAAGTATAGCCGGGTATGCAGTCAAAGCCAACTTGAATTTGTACTCTTTTTTATTACCCAACCTTTCGAAATAAATTATTCCTTCTTGAGGAGAAAATACAATGGAACATATAATTAGATAACAATAAAATATTAATAATTTTAACATATAACTTACAAAATTTGAGGATTGAATAAAAAAATTGTCAAGTTTAGAACAGTCACTTCAAAAAACATAATATGTTGAATAGGTATATCAAAAATATAATGTTAACACTATTAAAAACTATTGATTAAAACTTTTGATAAAACTTATTTACGATAAAACTATTTAAAATTTGGAAATTTCTTCTCAAACATATCTTAACCTTAAAACGTGAATGGCCATCTTGAGGGACACTGAGCAAGAACAATCGAGACAAGCCATAGAACAAGGATTTATAGAAATTTAGAAATATATATATATTTTAGGGTGGCCCAAAAAAACGATTATTTTTTTTCGTGTCACTTGTGAAAATATGTTAGTTTATCATGTTTTAAGAGCCCCCTCAAAAAATCAGCTCAAAAAAATTTTTTTAGAGGTCGCTCAAGATTTTTAAAAATTTCCAAAATCGTCACAAATTTAATTTTTTTTTACATTTTTTTTCTCGTTATTTTATCATTTTCTAGGTTGAAAGAAATCTCGGTTCTGAAAATTTTATATCGATATTTTAATTTCGATAGGTCAGATAATTATTTTAACTTTAAAAGTAGTGTACCTAAAATGTTTTCGAGCGTCCTCTAAAAATAAATATCAACGAACTAATATTTTTTTTATTGAATTTGATGAACAAACAAATAGAAATTAATCACGAGACACTTAAAAAATTTCTCGAGGCAAAATTTACTACCGCACTGCGAATACCTATCAAATATTTATAATTTTTTAAAATTTAAGTGTCTTGTGATTTATTTCTATTCTTTTGTTCATCGAATTCAACAAAAAAAAATTATTAGTTCGTTAATATTTATTTTTCAGAGGTCGCTCGAAAAGAGGTACACTACTTTGAAAATTAAAATAATTATGAGTGACCCTTAGAAATTAAAATATTGATTTGAAATTTTCAGATTCGAGATTTTTTTCAACCTAGATGATAACGAGAAAAAATAAAAAAAAATAAATTTTTGACGATTTTGGAAATTTTTAAAAATCTTGAGCGACCTCTAAAAAATTTTTTTTTGAGCTGATTTTTTGAGGGGGCTCTTAAAACATATTTTCACAAGAGACACGAAAAAAAATCATCGTTTTTTTTTTTGGGCCACTAATATATTTATACAGGGTGTTTCAGAAAGACCTTTCGTAAATTCAGGGGGGTGATTGTACGACAAAAAATAAGAATTTTTTGTCTTATGAACTATATGTCTATCTCCTCTCGTTTTCGAGATACAAACCGACAAAATAAAATTTTTTAAATAGAATTTTTACGAAAATTTCCAAACGGTGCGAAATATTTTTATGTAATTTGGTATTCCGGGGTTTTTAAGGACGCCAAATACGCTGGTCTTGTATATTTTTTGTATATTTTATAGAGGGCGCTAGTTATGCTACATTCGTATTACATTTTGAGTTCTAATTTTTTTGAAGTTAGGTTTTTTAGCATTCGGGCTCTAACTTCTAATGTACAATTTTATTTTCTACAAATAATGTAGAATGTATGTAGAATTCCTAATGTGGACGGTTTTCGAGAAAAAAGGCTTTTAATTGAACTCTTATAATATTGTGTAGAAAACAAGTGACTTTTCTCAAAGTAGGCTTATGTCAAAACTTATTGTTGGATGTCTCATAAACAACGCATACATTGTCAGTAATATTTTAAACTCTAATTAACTTTATATCAAAATTTTAGTGACTGTAATTTGTCATTACTAACTACGGTCATGTATTGTTTATGAGACATCCATCAATAAGTTTTGACATAAGCCTACTTTGAGAAAAGTAACTTATTTTCTTCACCGTAATATTGTAAGAGTTCAATTAAAAGCATTTTTTCTCGAAAACTGTCCACATTAGGAAGTTCTAACAAGAGTACATTATCTTTAGAAAATAAAATTGTACATTAAAAATTGGAGCCCGAATGTTAAAAAACCTAACCTCAAAAAAATTAGAACTTAAAATGTAATAGGAATGCAGCGTAACTAGCGCCGTCTATGAAATATCTAAAAAATAATTAAACCAGCGTATTTGGTGTCCTTAAAAACCCCGGAATACCAAATTTCATAAAAATATTTCGCACCGTTTGGAAATTTTCGTAAATATTCTATTTAAAAAAGTTTACTTTGTCGCTCTGTATCTCGAAAACAATAGGAGATAGGCATATAGTTCATAAGACAAAAAATTCTTATTTTTTGTCGTACTATCACCCCCTGAATTTATAGAGGCCTTTCTGAAACACCCTGTATATCTAGAGGTCGAAATATATTGTTTCACTTCAATTTACCTAGGTGCTAAAATGCACTTTATACTTCATATTTTGACTGCTTGTAGAGCATCACTCGACAGATAATTTACAACTAAAACTTTTTCCCTTTGACATTTTCTGATACAACTAATATTAAACGAGAAAATTTCATTGTACTGATTATTTTAAAGTACAAATAAAGTTGTTTGTTATACAAAAATCTCTGTTAATTAAATTTGCTCCTAAATTTGCTCCTTTACCACTACCCTGATTATTAACAGATCGGCCACTAATACTTGTAATGGCATATTCCATTTATTAGAACTCACTAGAATAACTAAAATATCAAATCAACACATTTTTCCCACTTGCACGGATATGACACGAGCGAAAACGTCTAAACTGAGAACTGATTCATCAATAAAGTTTACAGCATAATGTCTACCTAATTTTATTTTCTGAATCTTCTCAAATGCGAAGCAAGTACTTATAGCTTATAACCTTTTTTGTTAATATTACTACAGTAGAAATGGAGGTCCGTTAGTTATTTGATATAAAAAACCAAACTTGATTAAATCAGATTAATCGCTTTGAAGGTAATTATTTCGTATTAAAAGGTAAAAATGTTTCAATTTAAAATAATCGAGATCTAAGGGTGGCTACTTAAAAAGCCAAACAGGGTGTATTGTTTTTTTTTTTCGAGTTGTACGATTTTAATTTCTTTGCAAACAACAGACATGCAAATAAAAATAACCGCTTTTCACATCAAGGCCAGCGAACTGATCATCCAGACCAACCAGTCCTGCTGCCAGAGGTTTTTCCTGAAGATGTGCCTCACCAACGACATCCCCATCCTCTTCGTGGGCCCCACCGGCACCGGGAAAACCGCGGTGGTGCTGGACCACCTCCTCAACCTGCCCAAGGAGAAGGTCTTACCCAATGTGATAAACTTCAGCGCCAGAACCACATCCGGCATGGTACCAATTAAAATTATTTTTTTATGCCTAAATAATAGCCTTTCGAATGTTTCAGACACAAGAAATGGTCATGTCGAAGTTGGATAAAAGGCGAAGGGGTGTTTTTGGACCTTCCATGGGAAAGAAGTGTATACTTTTCGTCGACGATGTCGGAATGCCGCAAAAGGAGACCTGGGGGGCGCAGCCACCTGTCGAACTCCTGCGGCAATGGATAGATCACGGTCACTGGTTCGATAGGGACACTTCGACACTGCAACTGGTGGACATTGTAAGTCATTTTTAAGTAAATTGTATACTTTGAGCTGTTCTTACGTACCAGTACTGGTTGTTTAAATATATTACAAACTGCTTAATAAAATTAATTGATTGATACATTTTTAAGGTAATTTAAAAGAAAAAGAGAAATCATCTACGCCTCTTTGTTCTCAAAATAGCTTTTCTTAACGTTAATTGTTAAATAACCATTGGACGTATCGGACCGGGATTTTAGAGACAATTAAAGAAAGGGTTAATCTATCTCTCATCTATTTTCAGGAAGTTTTACATTGATAGTTCATGTAATAAACGCGCTAGCCCGCACATGCGGGTGAACGTCGCTCTCGTCACGAGCGAAATTTTTTACTTGAACGTTTCAAATTCGGTTAAAAAACTTCGCGTGCGATCAAAGACGGCATTCACGAGCGTGCAAGGACCCGGCGTTCCTACCGCCTGCAATTCGACTGGAGTACGGCAAAAATTAAAATTTTGTTCACAAATGAAGCATTTGTGAGACAAATGATTTTTCAAATAATACCAAAGAGAAAATTTACAAGAATCTTATTGTCATCTATTGTATTGCTTTCAACATTTTCTAGAGTTTCTTCAGTTATTTCAGTTATAGACCGGGAGATATTAGACTGAAGTTCGACGACGTCTTTCTCGTTTATGCCTCTGAGAGTACTGAAAGGTAACCGAGAGACAAGTACAATAAACTAAATTTAAAAGATGGGCTGCGGGACACCTTTGTGAAAATTCAATTTTCCTTTTCAAAAAAATAATGTGTACAGCGACGTATTTCTCACTTATGCCATGTTCGTAAGTTGAAGAGAAGTATCGATTTTATCACAAAATTTTTTTGGCATAAGTGTCGCAAGGGACCTAAAAATGGAAAACTTTGTAAGAAAATGTGGAAAAACATCTTTATTTGTCTACCAATTTCTCATTAATGCCAATTAGAAATATGACATTATTATATTCGAAAAGCTCATAAAAAACATTGGCATAAGTCCTACTAAGGACTAAAGAAAATAGAGCTTTGGAAAAGCTGCGGAAAATTTTTATTTTCATTCTATAACTTTCTCATTTATGCCGTTGAAAATTTATGATACTTACTATAAATAATGTACTGTGTCAAGTAGGCATCACTCCTCTATGGGTTCAATATGAAGGCATAAGTCTCAAAGTTGTAGGAAAATTCATGAAAATTTTTACGTCTTTCTCGCTTATGCCATTTTGCATGCACGTAGGAAACTACATTATAAAGTCATATAAATGTAGGCATAAGTCCACATTGGATTTTCATGTTGTAAATTAATTTGAATTTTAATATGAGTCAGGTCGACAAAGTAGAAAAATTATAGAAAATTGCCACAATTTTCTCGTTTATGCCGTTTTGTACACGAGTAGAAAATATTATTAAAAGCCACTTTCAAGAGTGGCATGAATGCCACAAGGTACCGTCGTATGTAAAATTTTTTAAAAAGTTGTCAAAAATTACAAATTGCGGTTATTTCCTCGCCTGCGCAATTTTCGATATACTTAAATTAATTTAAAAAATGTATGATAAATAATGCAAGTGTCGGAGAAGATATCTATATAAAAAATGAATATTTCTAACTATAAAAGGGAATAAAAAATTTAAAATAAAAAAAATTTCATGAAAAAGAGAAAGCTTTATATTGGGTTTAGTTTGATTTTTCGACATGTTATTTTTTATTACGATAATTCTTAATAACTTATAATAAAGCTGGTAGTAAGGCCTTTATTTTGATCCGTTTTCATCAAGAGCTGCAGATAAAACTGTTTGAAATTTGAAAATGTAAAAAATCATAAAACCGAAAAAACTTTTTATTTTTGATATGCTTTAATTTTAAGTTAATAAAAATTTGTATTATTTTAAGTGTTATTGTTTGTGTTAGTTATAATTAAAAATTAGTAATTCAAAGTCTTTGAGGAAGCATTCTGACAATTGAGTTGGCAGCGGTTTTTCAATTCAATTACTATTACTTAAATAAATCTTTTAATATAAAAATAAAATGTATAAAAGTACAAATTAAGTAATTAAGGTACAAAGTACCAGAAACAAAAAACAAAATTCAATATACATGATATTAAATCAGTTATAAATCAGTTTCTTCCCTATGTATTCTAGCTTAATTATTTCTTCTTCTTCTTCTTCTTCTTCTACCTTAGTCGGCTCAATTCAAGTAGATCATCCTTGCACTGAAGCGGTTAATTCAAATTATATAATATTTTTAATTTTTAAAATTTAAATATATTGTTCATAAATACGTATGGTCTATTGTGATAAAATACTCTACTCATTTACGAACAAACGAGAAATTTGTGGCAATATTATATAATTTTTCTTTTTCTGATCATGACTCAAAGAATAATTAAAAATCATTTCTAATATGTGGGGACTTAAGCCGAAATAGTTTATTATTAACTTTCATTAAATACATGAATTACTTATATTTATAAAAATTAAAAATACGCTAAATGCAAGTAAGTATAAGTATTTCGAAAATTGCGTAGGCGATGAAATAAACTTTTTAAAAATTTTTACATACGACGGTACCTTGTGGCATTCATGCCACTCTTGAAAATGGCTTTTAGTAATATTTTCTACTCGTGTACGAAACGGCATAAACGAGAAAATTGTGGCAATTTTCTATTATTTTTCTACTTTGTCGACCTGACTCGTATTAAAATTCAAATTAATTTACAACATGAAAATCCAATGTGGACTTATGCCTACATTTATATGACTTTATAATGTAGTTTCCTACGTGCATGCAAAATGGCATAAGCGAGAAAGACGTAAAAATTTTCATGAATTTTCCTACAACTTTTCAAAAAATTTTTAGCATATAGTCCTCACCAGGGACTTATGCCCTTTAAAAAAAATGAATACTTTCATTTTTTTCTTTGCAATAAGCTTTAATTTATTCACGAGAAAAACGTTGACCAAAACGAAAAATTTTCCGCAGCTTTTCCAAAGCCCTATTTTCTTTAGTCCTTAGTAGGACTTATGCCAATGTTTTTTATGAGCTTTTCGAATATAATAATGTCATATTTCTAATTGGCATTAATGAGAAATTGGTAGACAAATAAAGATGTTTTTCCACATTTTCTTACAAAGTTTTCCATTTTTAGGTCCCTTGCGACACTTATGCCAAAAAAATTTTGTGATAAAATCGATACTTCTCTTCAACTTACGAACATGGCATAAGTGAGAAATACGTCGCTGTACACATTATTTTTTTGAAAAGGAAAATTTAATTTTCACAAAGGTGTCCCGCAGCCCATCTTTTAAATTTATTTTATTGTACTTGTCTCTCGGTTACCTTTCAGTACTCTCAGAGGCATAAACGAGAAAGACGTCGTCGAACTTCAGTCTAATATCTCCCGGTCTATTAGTACGAGCCTTACCTATGTATTCTTCGTATATCCTTGCTGTATAACGACACCTCTGAACAAAGTTAATAAGCATTCAGTGTTGATTGATCTCTTAATGGAAATCTTACTTACGTATAAACAAGATGATGCGGCTGCATTTTGTCAGCACTCCCCATAAATTAAAAACATATTTTTTGTACATATTCTGGTGGTATCTATATAGAAAATCTATTATTTTTAAGCTGTTCGTGGGTGCCATGGGAGTACCTGGCGGGGGGAGAAACGAGGTAACCGACAGATTCTTGAGACACATGCAGATAATCTGCCTGGATTCTTTCGACGACAGCACACTGAACAAGATATTCGTCACTATATTAGACTGGCACTTGGGTAAAGGTTACGTGGAAAACGTTGCGAGACAGTCGAAGGTAACTTTTTCAATCCCATCTCATTTGCGGTACGCCACTTCTTTTTATTTTAGTTTTGCGTTGGAGCAACGCTAGACGTATACAAAGACGCGACGTTAAGCTTCCTGCCGACGCCCACCAAATCCCACTACACCTTCTCCTTGAGGGACTTCTCCAGGGTTATAAACGGCATGTTGCTCACCCCTCCCTCCCGTATGGCCGATCCGGATAAATTCATTAGGCTCTGGGTGCACGAGACGTACAGGGTGTTCCACGATAGGTTGATCGACGACAACGACAGGTACACTGAAATGTAACACAGCGCCAAAAAAATATAAGAAAATGGGTTAGGCCATGGACCAGACTGGCGTTTCCCATAGTACATTGAATGCTGAATCCGAATCTAAAGGTTATGGGGTTAGGGAAGCATGCCAACCCACGCTCTTGTAGTTTCGGACCCCTGATGTATGAGGTCCATGTTCCCGCATAGTTTCATGGTTCTACACCCTCACACATCCCAGGCTATGGAGTTATGGGGTCACGAACTACGGGGTTATGGGTTATGGTGGAATGAGATCACGAATTCGAATGTTTTTCCAATTGCCAATTAGTTTGAAATCTTGAAAATCGATTTCTAGAGGCTCAAAACACGAACTGATTCGGGATTTCCGACTTTAGATTCGGATTCGGCCGGTCAAAGTACTGTGGGAAAGACTGGTCTAGTTCACGATTCAACCCACTGTCCCTGCTGTCAATTTAAGGTTTCCGTAACCTTTCTAGGCCAGTCAAATCGTCGAAAATACCTCGTTTTTCGCTAAAGTTTAGATCTGTAAACAAATATACGCAAAAATTAGGAAAAAATCCGTAGAGTTGAATAAACTGCTTTACATCAACTGTATGTTAAGGCTTCATTTTCAAATTGGCGGCTAAAGTTCGCAAGAAACTGTTTTTTTTTTTTCATTTAAAAATGTTTATCTGCTCCCACTATAGTAAATATACTATTAATAGATTGTTTTTAAGGAGGTAAGTGGATTTTACCGTAGAAGTGGAAGTTGCTATAGACAACGGGAGGTAAGTGAGGTAACTTACCTCCCTAGGGAAAAAAGCGATTTCGATTTATAAATGCATATTTTATGAACAAATAAATAGAAATATTTGATGAACATTACATTTTATTTATTTATTTTTTATATATTTATTTATAATGAATATTTATGGTAATTGTACAGTTATTACATTTAGTAACATTTATAAAATCTGGATAATTATTCCCCTCGCGTTTATGAATTGTCACATTTTTCTCAAATTGATTTTACGCCCCATTTCCGTCACCGGGGGCTCAATATTATCTGACTGATCCATTAAAACAGCATGATGCGACATACTACTAGATCCTGGAGTTGAAGTGTCATTGTAAAGAATCCTGTTGGCTATTTCATTTTTGTTACTTAAACTGTCGGCAATGTAATTTTCTGCAGTTGTGGCTGATTTCCACCCACCATGTCTCTTGATTGCTAATACATCAACTTAGCCAGTAACGTTGCCGATGTTCTTCGGAATAAGTGGCCTGTATATGTTTCAGGATGTTTCAAAAACTGTGCAATCTTATTAGGAATCATAGAAAGGGACCGGTTGATTGTAACATCTACCTGCTTGATAGCGCATAAAAAAGCCTGAAATTTCAGTTTTAATTTCCAATCTAATCTTGATATATTTCTTGAGAATTTCTAGGTGAGAAACAGAACCCAGACGAGAAGTAATTGTAAACGTACGTGACTTACCATTTTTAGAATCTGGAATTGTAACTACAATAATGTCATCGAAATCGCATTTTTTAAACCTTGTATATCTTTAAAACGAAAAAATACTTTTTCTCAGAATATATAGTCCTTGGTATGTAGAATAAGTGCATTTTTGTGAAATTGCAAAATATTTGATAGTCTTTGCATAAATAGTTTTTCCAAAAAAAAAAAAAAAAATGTTTTTCCAAGTTTTAATAAATCATAAAGTAATGTAGGTACTTACGTGACCCAGCTTGGGCTTAAAATTTTCTTTAAAAGTAGTACTTTCCTGTGCAAACTGTGCACGTATTGCGAAATATACGAAACTGAGAACGCACAGTCCTTCCCCCCCACCACGCGCATCAACGTTTCGAACGGACTAAGCATTTTACGGCGCCCAACAAAATTAAGTTTAATGTAAAAACGGGGTCAATTATTACTGACTATTTTTTATATTGAAGTAAAAGTATTCAACTACATGTGTAAATTTCATACGTTAATATTAATAAATGAGGTTATAGCTATTTTTTGAAAAAAAAAAATTCTCGGCTCCTATTAGTCGTAGGAATTTAAAAGTAAAAAAAAGAAGTCAAAGTTTTGATACATTTTTCGTATGTTTCCAATTATTTTGAAATACGCAATACTCGCACAGGAGCGTACAGCTCTTATAGAAAATTTTAAGTCCAAGATGGGTCACGTAAGATGTATGATTTATTGAACCTTGGAGAAAAAATTATTTTTTTCGAAAAACTCAAATTTTGCAAAAACTATCAAATATTTAGCAATTTTACAAAAATGTACTTATTCTATTTGCCAAGGACTACATATTCTGAAAGTTTCGTAAAAAAATCTTTTTTCGTTTTCGCAAAAAATGCGATTTTTAGTGGTTTTCTTGCAATAACATTTGTTCATCAATTGACATCGGGCTGGGCTAAAAATTTTTGCCATAAAAAGTTCTACAACTTTTTCTAAAATGTTTAGCTTTTTTTAATAAAAAACTGATTTTTGCAAACTTTGGACACCATTTTAAAAATGAAGCCCTAACATTCAGCTAGGGTAAAGTAGTTCATTCAATTCTACGAAATTTTTCCTAATTTTTACGTGTTTTTTAACTAAATTACTGTTTACTGAACTAAATATTGGCACGTAAAAATCTAATTCGATTGGACTATTCTGCGCCTTAGGAGTATGCTGTTCGAGATCGTGAAGAAGTCCTGTTATCAGAACTTCAGACAACATCTGAATAGGGTCTGTGAAGACATTGTCCCAGAGGGGGAGACCTTAGGTCCACAGCATATCAGGAACTTATTCTACGGGAATTACATAGAGCCAGACGCCGAACCGAAAGTTTACGACGAGGTACTTCATTAAATAGAAACACATCTGTATGTTTTCAAATATTGATCTTATCCATCATTCGCAGATAACCGACATGGAAGACTTGATACAGAAAATGGAGTTCTACTTGAATGAATACAACCTCATATCGAGATCTCCCATGAACCTAGTCATGTTCAAATTCGCTATAGAGCACGTCTCCCGTGTCTCCCGAGTGCTCATGCAACCCAACGGTAACGTTCTCTTGGTGGGAATAGGTGGGTCTGGTAGGCACAGTTCAGCTAAGTTAGCCGGCGCCATGGCCGAATACAGCGTATACCAAGTAAGTTCAATGCTAAAACCATAACTAATCTCGCCTGTTGGTACAACATTCGATTGTTTTTGTAGATTGAACTGAGCCGGACTTATGGTATCCCGGATTGGAGGGAAGATTTGAAGAAGTTGCTGATGAAGGTCGGAATCGAGGGGAAACCATTGATTTTCCTTTTCGCGGATACCCAGATCGCGGATGAAATGTTCATCGAGGATATTAATACAGTGTTAAACACTGCAGACGTACCAAACTTGTACGCTCCCGATGAGAAGGCGGACATCTTGGAAAAGATGCAGACCGCTGCAAGAGATAGTGTAAGTTAAGTCCTTATCTAAAACTTATTGATTGTCTAATACAATTGAACTAGAAATTTTTCAAATATTGAGGCCTAAGGTCAATAATAAAACGTCAAAGGTCAGTTACAGAGGAAGCAAAGTGTTTAGTCTTCTAGGAACACTAATCTTTAACCTCGGGGACATTGACCTTTGGCGTTCGGGTTCACCGTTACTAATCAGAATGGTGGCACTTACAGGGAAAAAAAATTGAACCCACCCCTCTAGCCCTCTACAACTTCTTCATCGAAAGGGTGCGCAACAACCTTCACGTCGCCCTTTGCATGTCCCCCATCGGAGATTCTTTCCGAGTGAGGTGTAGAATGTTCCCGTCGCTCATCAACTGCTGCACAATCGATTGGTTCCAAGACTGGCCCGACGACGCTTTGGAGAGGGTGGCCAACATGTTCCTCTCCCAAACTGGCATCGGAGAGGCGATGACGGAGCAGTGCGTTCTGATCTGTAAACACTTCCACGTCACGGTGCAGGAAGCTTCCCTAAAGTTCTTCAAGGAACAGAGAAGGAAGACCTATATCACTCCTACTTCGTATTTGGAGTTAATCCAGACGTTCAAGCACTTGTATGAGTTGAAGGTGGACCAGATAACTATGCAGAGGAACAGGTACGAGACTGGGTTGGACAAACTGGATTTCGCAGCGGGGCAGGTCGGCATCATGCAGGAGGAACTTCACGCCTTGCAGCCCAAGTTAATCGTGGCGTCTGCGAAGACCGAGAAGCTCATGATCAAGATCGAGCAGGATACGGTGGTGGTGGAGAAACAAAAGGAGGTAATGCTGTTTACTTGTGGACGGTTGGGCAACGAATCGACAAATTCGTATTTCCAAACAGCTTTCACCATGTCTAGCGAATATAAGTGACGTTCTATAATTTTTCTCAGATTGTTGGTGCAGATGAAGCCCTAGCCAATGAGGCAGCTGCGGCAGCCCAGGCGATAAAAGACGATTGCGAATCCGACTTATCGGAAGCCATCCCTGCCTTAGAAGCGGCAGTGGATGCTTTGAACACCTTGAAACCCGCGGATATCACTCTAGTAAAATCCATGAAGAATCCGCCCTCAGGCGTAAAACTTGTGATGGAGGCTGTAAGTCACTTCGTTTACACCATACGACCAAACATAAACCGTGTTACCTTAATAGATATGCGTTATGCGACAAATCAAGCCGGAAAGAAAACCAGACCCCTCAACCGGAAAAATGGTAGAGGACTTCTGGGGACCTTCGGGAAAGCTTTTGGGAGACATGAAGTTCCTGGAGAATCTGAAGGCGTACGACAAGGACAACATTCCTCTTCCGGTGATGAAAAGAATACGCGATAGGTCGGTACTGGATTCGCGAAAAAGTCTTAGTTAACACATTTGGTTCCAGGTATATCCCCGATAGAGAATTTGATCCCGAACGGATTAAAACCGTGTCGACGGCGTGCGAAGGTTTATGCAAATGGGTGCGAGCCATGGAGGTGTACGACAGAGTCATCAAAATCGTCGCCCCGAAGAAAGCCAGACTGGAAGAGGCTGAAGCCGAATTGGCTGCACAAATGGACACTTTAAATGCTAAGAGGGCGCAGCTTCAAGAAGTATGTGCTTTCGCAACTGTTTATCGACAGGAAAACGTTTATTCTTCGTATTTTTTCAGGTTGCAGATAAACTGCAGGCGCTGAACGACGAGTTCGCCGCCGAGACGAAGAAAAAGAAAGACTTGGAGGACGAGATACACCTTTGCTCTCAGAAGTTAGACAGAGCGGAAAAACTCATAGGCGGCCTTGGCGGGGAAAAAACGAGATGGTCCGACACGGCCAAGCAGTTGCAAGGCTTGCTTAACAACGTTATCGGCGATGTCGTTTTGTCAGCGGGTACAATAGCATACTTGGGGCCGTTCACTGTGGATTTCAGGTGGTGGACGATTATATCAGAAGCGGGATAATTTATTTTAAAGAATGTAATATTTCAGGCAGGAACTAATAAAGAACTGGAATGCATATTCTTTAAATTCTGGTATACCGTGTTCGCAAAACTTTTCCCTCGTGACAACGATGGGTGAACCGGTGGTTATAAGAGCTTGGAATATCGCTGGACTGCCCGTTGATAATTACAGCATAGAAAATGGAATCATTGCGACTACCGCTAGGAGGTGGCCCCTGATGATAGACCCCCAAGGTAAGATCATTAACTTCCGAGAAGATTTTCGCCATTAACTTACCGTCAACATGTGCGCGTGTATGTAACACTTGCACGCATATGACACGAAAGAAACGCCTAAGTTGGAAACATCGAAAACATACTGTACATGATATACCAAAATTGCAATTTGATTTACTGCCTACTGCATTTTGGACCTGGTGCACATTTTTACAATTTTTAGGTCAAGCCAACAAGTGGGTGAAGAACATGGAGAAGAACAACAGACTCCAGGTGATAAAACTAACAGATGGTAACTACGTGCGCGTCCTGGAAAATGCCATAACATTTGGCACTCCAGTCTTGTTGGAAAACGTCAACGAAGATATTGATGCAGTCTTAGATCCCATCCTGGTGAAGAACATCTACAAACAGAGTGGAGTTTGGTACCTAAAGCTCGGCGATAACGTCCTAGAGTACTCCTTCGACTTCAGATTCTTCATTACGACGCGTTTGAGGAATCCGCACTACTTACCCGAAATCGCCGTGAAGGTTACCCTGTTGAACTTTATGATAACCCTGCAAGGGTTGCAGGACCAGCTGCTAGGCATCGTGGTGGCCAGAGAGAAGCCCATTTTGGAGGAAAAGAAGAACGCGATGATCGTGGAGAGCGCTAATAACAAGAAAATGCTGAAGGAAATCGAAGACAAGATTTTAGAGGTGTTTGTTTAATCGATTTCGATGAAATACTTTAACGAATTATTGCAGGTTCTTTCTTCATCCGAAGGGAACATCCTAGAAGACGAAACAGCTATAAAAATCCTTTCGTCGAGTAAAATTCTGTCCGAAGAGATCCAAGAGAAACAAAAACAGGCCGCGGTGACCGAGAAAGAGATAGATTTCGCTAGAAACCAGTACGTCCCGGTTTCCAGACACTCCTCTGTACTATTTTTCTGTATATCCGATTTGGCCAACATAGATCCGATGTACCAGTACTCGCTGGGGTGGTTTATAAATTTATACCATCAATCGATTACGAATAGCACCAAATCCACTGTTCTGGAAGAGAGGCTTGGATATCTCAACAATCATTTCACGAGCAGCATATACAGGAATGTGTGTCGATCGCTGTTCGAGAAGGACAAACTGATCTTTTCGTTTGTACTAACCGTGGGGATCCTGAGGTACCAGGTGAGATCAAGCAAACCATTTTTATTACTTTATTAAAAATGGATTACAAACTAGGTTAATGACCGAATATTGCGGTAAGTCAAGATTCACTCTGGATAAACGTTTGTAGATCAGCGGTCAGGAGTGATACAAAAAGGGGTTTAACTAATGATTTGAAAATATTTTTTTTCAGCGAAATTATGCATTTTAAATATTTTTAATCACGTATTCGCATTCTACTTATTTTTTCTTATCTTTCCTTAAAATTAATGACAATATAACTGTATCATACATACTATACTTTTTGCATTGTATGATTTGATTTTAGTAAGATTGGCGGACCAAATAATATACAGGGTGTCAGAACTTTGACTGCCTTAATTTTAACAGACTATAGAATACATTAAAATAAACATAAACTTAACCATTTCCGAGAAAAAAATTATCAAAATCTCCAACTTGATGTACAAAAGTTCAATTAATTAAGGAATATTGACATAAATGCGTGCATAGAATACCATAAAATACAATGTTTATCACTTTTTTAACTTCGTTATGCTTAATTCTAAAAAATAATTATCGTTGTAATAAATTTAAAATTCGATAAAATTCATATCGAGCAATGTGACAACGGCGCGGCGGATAACACCAGGATACTAAGCTGTCCAGCAACCACCAATACACAACTGAGTTGGTATCTGGAATTGGACCGTGTCTGAGTGTTTTTTGCGTACCACTATTTCCTTTTCGTGAGACGTTTTCCAGTGAGTACGCGAAGATTAGATTCGAAGGTGTCGTGCTTGCATTGAAAATGGTGGTGGACATTTTGAGCATATTAGCTCAGTATATGACGGTTTTTAGGTCCGAATTCTTGACACATGCACCGATTGACGTGAAATTTTAACAGTAAGTAGAAAATTGCTTAAGAAACAAACGTTACAGCCTATGTGTGCTTTCACCCTGGAGGTGAATGCCACCCCCTTCTTGGGGGTGGCAATGAAGGCGCCCCTTTTAATTGCAAAAATCAATAGAGGGATGAATTCTAAGCAAAAATAATTTTTTTCCAAAAATTAATATGTTCCCAGTTATTTGCGATTGAAAATGTTGATTTTTCATCTAAAAAGTGCATGTTTTTCAACCATTTTTGATAAATAACTCGAAAACCTTGCGTTTTATCGAAAAACCCATATACAGCAAAAATAAAGCGTTTAAAATAATGAATCCATTCATTTTTTGGTGATTACCGTAGATGTAATAATAACCGAGTTATCACTCTCTAAAGGTGATTGTTTATTTTTCGGAAAGTAAAATCGAACCTTTTACCGTAAAATAATGGTGAAAGAACTAATTTTTCGAAGAAAACTAATATAATCTTTTTTAAAGTGCTTGGAGAGACATTTAAAATGCTTTTCGAAAAAACTTCGTAGCTCAAAAAATAACGGAGTTATGATGAAAATAAAATGGTCATCTCATTTTTTAGGAAAAAAAATCAACAATAAAATCTAAGGCTGAACCATAAAAATAGAAACTAAGCGTAATCCATATACAGTTGATTTTATAGAATGCCTAAATTTTAAAAAAAAGTTTGAAATAATGAAACAATTTATTTTAGCTCTCTTTCAATTTTTCTGTAGAGCAAAATTAACTGAGATATTACGTTTTTTGTTTACATTTGCGTGTAAGGACCACCTTCTTTGAACCCTTAAAACCTAAAAATCTCGAAAACGAAAAATTCAAGACCCTTCAACTATAAAGGTTGATGTGTAGCTCTTGCAATTCCTTGCAAATTACTTTTTGGAACGATGACAAATATTAAAAATTAAAAGTTATCGTGAAAAAACGAATTGTATTATTCAGTGAAAATTGTCGGATTGTGTAAATGGCTTAATTTCCGATAGATAATGCGACATGCGGAACATCACGGACCAAACAGGGGAAGTCGACAGTTATGATTGTTCTTTAGATGATATGTAAATTTTTGATAATAAAGTATAAATACACAAATAATTTTTATTTTCCCTTTCACTAATTACACAATTTAAGTTTCGAGTTTTAAATAATCTCGTTGAATTTAGTAATGTATTAAAAAATTATCAGTTCTGTTCAGACCACTAAAATATAGTATCCAAATTCGTTTGTAAAAAGCACAATCAGAGAGATTAAGTAAATCCTTAAGAAATTTTAAATCCAGTAAAAAATTACAGTCTCTGCGCCCGTGTGTACTGCATAGAGTTATTATTTTTTTTTATATTTCACAATATTGTAGTACACTATTTCTTAAAGTTTTTAGGTATATCGCCGTTAACTCCAGAATTTTAAAATTCTTTTAAAAATCTAACCGCTGCAACTACTTCAATTTCAATTTAATTGAACCCATCTACATTTTTTACTTTATTTACATATTTACTGTTGCAAAAATATGCAGAGTAAACTCAAGACTATTTTATCCTATAAGTCTTGTGAATGCATATTTGACTAGAAATTATAATTTTTTTTTCAATTTTATTACCCTACTAAAAAGGGAGATATATGTTCCATCCAATATTGAACTTCTATATAGTTATTTCTTTTACTAAAGACATAAATAGACCATATTTGGAGCCCTGAAAAGTATCCTTGAGGTATCCCAACAATTTTTTTGACAAGCAAAACGTTTTAAATGGATGTTTGCTAATTCATGACGTCATTTAGTGCGATCGAGAGTCTAGAGACAGTAAAATTAACTTGGGTTTGGGGCTCCCCATACACGTTTCTTTAGAGTACGTTCCATCTCGTTCGCGTAGGAACTGTAGACTAAACAACAAACTGTCGAGAAGTAGGTTGTGTTCGTGGTCGCACTAAATGACGTGTCGACAATGTGCTCTTGAGCAAGTGACGAAATTTTAATTTCACATAATTTTAAATATAATTAATTTGTAGCATTAAATAAGTACATTGTTTTATTGTTTTACCACTGTTAGTTGTTGTCGATTATAGACTACAAATTTATGCAGCCTTAGAAGAAATTAATTGCTTTTTACAAATGGTATTCTCTAGGGAGGAATCGACGAAGAGGTCTGGAATTTCTTGCTAACTGGGGGGATAGCGTTAGAAAATCCTTATCCTAACCCATCGCCCGAATGGTTGGCAGACAAATCCTGGTCCGAGATTGTGAGAGCTAGTAACCTAAAGGGGTAAGTTTCGATGGGGTCGATATTTCAACATCTTATTAATATTTGACATCCCTAGCTTGGAAAAATTTAGGGACTCTTTCCAAAACAACGTCCATGAGTGGAAAAAATTCTACGACGTGTCGAATCCCCACGAAATACCCTGTCCTGCACCCCTGCACAACTTAAAAGGGTTGCAGAGGCTCGTCGCTCTAAGATGTATAAGACCGGACAAAGTTGTGCCTGCTGTTCAGGTAATGACGACATCATTTGCTTGTACACGTAACAAATTTATATTTAGTTGTATATCGTCGAGGAAATGGGTCCCTCGTATCTGGAACCTCCGCAGTTTAACTTGCAGGAATCGTACAACGACAGCAACTGCTGTTCGCCGTTAGTTTTTATCTTGTCAGCGGGTTCGGACCCCATGGCGGGGCTGGTGAGGTTTGCTGCTGATAAAGGCATCGATAAAACCAGCCTCATGACCATATCGTTGGGGCAAGGACAGGTAAGATCGATGTTACTATACAGGGTGATTCATAATTAGGTGTAGAAAATTTTACCGAAATTCTCGCCAAAACAAAAATATTTCCGAAATTTTTGTAAAGAGCCATTACAGATTCCTTCTCAAATAATGATACAAAATCGTTACTGGAATCATCTGCTTCTTTTAACGTCAATTGTCTTATGAATAATGATGCAAGTTTTGAAAATTTGTAATGCCGTCTCTGGTAAAAATTGCTTCATCGATCCATAAAACAGATGAAATAAATTAGGATCATCTAATAAGCTACTGACAAAAACGTTGAAAGAATTAGTGAAACAAAACTGTAAAAATTCCAACAGCTTAGAATTTCGAGGCTTTCCTGTAGTGAGAGTATCTAAGACTGCATCAATTAGAGCTTGCACCCTCACCCTTTATTTGACCAATTATTTTGCTTCGGCGAGAAGTTTCGGTTAAAATTTTTACACCTAACTGTGACGAGAAGTTCATACAGGGTGACCAAATGAAAACAAAACACAGCCATTTTCAGGAACTGCGTCAAGATTGTAGAAAATCGCTCAGACCCGTCGATTTTAGATTAAAGGGGGACATTCTTTGCTGGTATTTTTGACTCCGCCACTTTCACCCCCCAAGCAAGGGTAAGCATCACCCCAAAATATTTAAATGGCATTGGGGGTTGAGTAATATTACTTTCGAAAGTTCTTACAATTCTCTTTACAACAGACTTTAAATTTTATAATTCCGCCCAATACTTTGAAAAAAATTTACATTTTAAAATTTAAATTATGTTTAGTTGCTTACTTACTACTTAGTTGATTAAATGTTCAAACTGATGACCGCCCGCTTCCATACAGGAATAAAGATTTTGTTCGAAACGTTCGCGCACATTCCGAAGCATTTCCGGAGTGATTC